AAAAAAAAAAAGAAATAAGATCTTTGCAAATGTGATTGGTTAAAACTCTTGAGATGAAATCATCCTGTATTTAGGATAGAAACTAAATCCAGTGACACTCAGAGACACAGAGCAGATGTGAAGATGGAGGCCGAGGTAAACTACAGCTACAAACCAAGGAACACCAAGGGTTGTCAGCAATCACCAGAAGCCAGGAGAGAGAGATGGGATGGTTCCCCGCTCCACAGAGCCTCCACAAGGAACCAACTTTGCTGACACTTTGATTTCAGGATTCTGGCTTCAGAACTATGGGCCAATAAATTTGTTTGTGCAAGTCTGTGGCAATTTACTATGCAACATCCTAAGAAACTAATACACATCATTGCTGCAGATGCCAGTCACGGTGCTTAAGATAGGGCTAACTCTACCCCTTGACTCTGCAGTGGGGCAAATTTCATCCCTGGCCAGGCCAGACCACTGTGGTTGGTTCTAGGATGACTCAAGTTAGGTCAGGGAGAGTGAACAAGACCTGAGATTTTGCTAGAACTTTTGGAATGAGGTACTAGCTTTTTAAAGGAGGCCACGAAGGAGCTGTTGGATATTATCTTACCACCTACCTAGACAGGAAACTGTCACAGAGGAAGTGATTTCTAATATCCTTATTTGAACTCCTGGATCTACCCATACCTGAAGCTAGATATCAATGCACATCAGTCCCATGAGCCAATAAATTCTCTTATTGCTTAAACTATTTTGAATTAGAGCTGAATTTTCTATTCTTGGTATTCAAAAGGGACACAGCCAATTATTCTATCTAGGCCCCAGTTTCTCTCCATCTTTAGGGGATAATAAGATTTGCCCTGGCTGGGCCATCACATCCCCTGAGCTCAGGAGTTGGAGACCAGCCTGAGGAAGAGAGACCCCATCTCCACTAAAAATAGAAAAGTTAGCTGGGTGTTGTGGCAGGTGCCTGTAGTCCCAGCTATTTGGGAGGCTAAAGCAAGGATTGCTTGAGTCCAGGAGTTTGAGGTTGCAGTCACAGATGAATGTGAAAGGATTTTGAAAGAGTTATGTGCCACCCAAATGGAGATTTGAGTTAATTTCAGGGCTCAGATGACTCTGACAATTCACTTTCTAACTCCTCTTGACTAAGTAACCATTTAGCTTGAGGACTTCACTGTATACTCAATTCTGGCAAATAGGTCCATAGATTCTTAGGACTAGAAGGGTCCTTAAGTTCAGGCCTGATGCTCCCATTTTTACAGAAGGAGGACACAGGCTCATAACAGTTTGGTGGCGTGGCTACCATCACTCAGTGAATCAGGCTGAGCCAACTCAAAAACAGTGAAGCTACTCTTTAAAGAGGAAGTGAAACTCACATGTTCATGCCTGTTATTCCCTCCAGCTAGGCCATGATTTAAAAGGAAGAAAAATGGGGATTGGGGACAGAGCAGGGGAGGAAGGAGGGAGAGAGATGCTCTGCACCCCCAATCCCACCTTAAGTTGTGCTTATGAAAGGGAAGCACAGGGGATCCTTGAAGTGATGGGGCTGTTCTGCATGTCAACTGTGCTGGTGGATGCAGGAATCTACAGAGGCAATAAATTGCATAGAATTTATGCAAGTGACGTGAGGAAATCAGACAGAGATCAAGGGATTGATCAAGGTCAATATCCTTTTGGTGATACTGTACTATGGTTTTGCAAAATGTTAAGTGAACCTGGGCAGAGTGTGCAGGGAGCTGGCTGCATCATTTCTTAGCATGTGAATTTATAATTATTTTTAAATATGTCAAGGTTTTTAAAAGGAGAAGATGAGGTAATGGCAGTATTGTTCCTTTTGGGAAGGGCCTGGCTCTGTCTGGAGGTTTAGAGGGCACCAAAAGTCACAACAGGCAGACCTTGGAGCCACCACTGCTGGGGAAGAGGGAAGGGGCTGGGAGAGATTCTGGGAGGTTCCAGAAAGGGCAGGATATGCCCTGTACCACCAATTCCATATATATATATTTTTAAGAGACAGAGTCTCACTTTGTTGCCCTTGGGAGAGGGCCATGGTGTCACAGCTCACAGCAACCTCAAACTCCTAGGCTCAAGCAATTCGCTTGCCTCAGCCTCCCAAGTAGCTGGGACTACAGGCACCCGCCACAATGCCTAGCTATTTTTTAGAGATGGGGGTTTTGCTCTTACTCAGGCTGGTCTTGAGCTCGTGAGCTCAGGCAATCCACTCCCCTTGGCCTCCCAGAGTGCTGGGATTATAGGCGTGAGCCTCCTTGCCCGGCCCACTAATCCCATCTTAAGAACTCAGGTCCAGAAAGTTTTGCACAGATGTTCAGGGAGGCCAGGGTGAGTCAGGGCTCAGAGGATTGAGAGAAAGAGGAAGAGGCAGGCAGGCGAGGCACACCTTGGAGACAGCCGAGGAGCCCGAAGACCCCGCCACGCAGGGTTGCCTGCGTCTGCCGCCCATCCACGGTGGGGTCGTCCGCCCACAAGCTGAGCCAGTAGCTGCGGCAGAAGGAAGCCACTTGCTGGCAGAGGAAGAGGAAGAGTGCGTAGAGGCAGATGGGGCTGCCTATAGCCCGCAGGTAGGTCAGGTGCATGGCAGCCTTCACCTATAGCACATGGGGAAAGAGTGGCAGAGAGGGGCCTCAGAGCGGGGGTGAGTTGGGGCAGGGCCAGGTGAGGTTCCCAAAGAACACGCCAGTGGGCCAGATGGAACCACCACGCAGACCCCACAGGTCCTCCCACCAGTAGCACTGTCTTCCCTACAGGCCCCACCTAGCTGCGGGACCCTCTCCTGCTACAGAATCCCCAGGTAGCCAATGACAGGCTGTGGTGCTTTCTGCTCTGGGCATCTACTGTGGGTGAGTGTGCTCTCCACGCTCACAATAAACTCCATTCCACAGATAAGGAAGGCGAGGCACAAGGAGGTCCAGCCTCTTCTGCTCCTGCAAACCTGAAGCTCTCTGCACAGCTGGAGCCACAGTGAACTTTTATAAACATCAGTCTAACTATAGCTTGCTGTTGCTGGCCTGTCCATTGCTTCCTCTTGCTCTTAGAAGAAATTCCAAACTCCTGTCTCGCCCCCACTCGTTATCTGCCAGCCTGGGACCCATTTCTCCTCTCTGGCTTCCTGCCTGCTGTTCCCTCTGCCTGGAACACTCTGTGGCTTGCTCTTTACATGGCCAGTTCCTTCTCTTTTCTGGGCAGCTCAAATGTCACTCAACTGTCACCCCTCAGAGCATCCTATCCAAACACACCGCGATGCTCAGTTGGTCTCCATTTCATTGATCTTCTATATGTTTGCTTTATAGCACTTACCATTATCAGATATTACCTGATTAGCCTAATTATTTGCTATCTTTCTACCCTCACTGGCCTGTAAACTTCCACCAGACTTAGCTGGGCACAGTGGCTGCTGTGTAGATGTTTGTGGGCTGGATGGGTGGATTGACAGATGAATGGACAAACAGGTGGACAGGCAGGCGTGGAGGTGGGTGGATGGTTGGGTGTGTAGTTAGGTGGGTTGGAGGGCAGATGGAAGGGCGTCTGGGTGGGTGATGGAATGGAAGAGTAGATGGACACAGCATTATAGAAGAGGTAAAATGAGATGAGCTTCTGATTTGGACTGACCTAGATTTGAGTCCTAGGCTGGTCACAGGCTACCGAGAACACAGACAAGTCTCTTACTCCATTTTTTTTTTTTTAATAGACAAAGTCTTGTTGTGTTACCAAGGCTGCTGTGTACAGAGGCACATTCTAGCTCACTGCAGCCTCAAACTCTTGGGCTCATGTGATCCTCCTAACACTACAGGCACATACGACCATGCCCAGCTAATTTTTAAAATTATTTTGTAGAGATGGGGTCTCACTATGCTGCTCAGGCTGGTCTCGAACGCCTGGGCTCAAGAGAGCCTCCTGCCTTGGGCTCTGCGAATGCTGGGATTATAGGCATGAGCCACTCTGCACTCAGCTTAGTTTCCTAACTCTTTAAGATTTCCCAGGTTCTTCATCACTGAAATGGTGTTATCACCATCTATCCTTTAGGGTGGTGGTGAGGATTAAGAACATAATCTTACCAGGCACATAGTAGGTGCTCAGTAAAGGTATCCTGCCCCCCCTCCTAGTGCTATATCTTGGGGGAAGTCTTGGGTTCCTGGGGGCAGCAGTAGAGGGTGGGGAGGGTCGGAGCATCTGGTGGTTACCCTGCCATACTGTGTGCTGTCCTCTCCTGTCGCCTGTCCGGCCACATCAGGGTCATCTAAAGGAATTCCTGCCTGGGCTTCTGAAGAGGTGCTGTCCTCGGGGACGGACTTGATGGAGCTGTCATTTAGAGAAAATGAAGACCAATCAGTATCTCTTGGGCTGTGAATGCCCAACTGTCAGGCCCACTGGGAGCGACTGAGCTCTGGGGTAAACCCTCCACCCATTCATTCATTCACTCACTCAGCTCACAGACTGAGCACCAAGTCTCACGAGTCCCTTCTCCTGGTGTGGTGCCGGCTAAATGCCGTCTCTTAGCCTGGAGTCGAGGAAGTCTGTTCGTCAGATGCCACTTCGCTCAATGCACTTATTTGCCCAACTTTGGAACTCTGTTCTCACAATTTTCATTTTGGTCTAAGCTTTGCTGCAGTTGTTTTGTCCTTACTGTTTGCCCTCAGATCTGTCAGTCTAGCCTGCCGGAAAGTCAATTACGCACAATTCAGACGCTAAAGACTTCTTGAATGTTCCATACTTCTGTGGATGAGTGGGCTAACTTAACCTCTGTGCCTCAGTTTCCTCAGCTATAAAAGTGGGGATAATATCAATTCTTCTACCCACCCACCCACCCTCATACCTACATATATATCTCTTATCTTGGGAGCTGTAGAAACAGCAGAGTTGTCCAGTGTGTGACACAGAAGTGCCCTCAGGAAGCTGGCTAAGATAGGGTGGCAGGGAGAGCTGTGCCCAGACCCAGTGATCCCCAAGGACCAAGGCCCCTCAAAATGTCCCCCAGGACCCCATCCTAATAGCAGGCACATAAGCTCAGACCCCCTGGCACCCAGTGGTCCATTGCTGTTTCCCAAGGCCTTTCTCCAGGAAAGGGGGAGGGGATGCCCCAGGCGGAAGTCTCTGACTGGCAGGGGCAGAGAGAAGGGGAATGCAGGCCCCCTCCGGGCCCCTGGTCAGCACCCAGTGAGGACACAGGTGTAGACTCAAGTCCCGCACGTGGCCTGCCTGTGAAACCATAAACCACAAGGCCTGGCATGTTGGTAACAACTGTGGGGAAGGTCCCTCTTTGGTCCAGCCCTGCCCTACTCCAGCAAGGAGACAACCCAAACCAACCAACCTCAGCCCACCCAGCGGCATGCATCATATTGGAGGGCAAATTGTTCTTTCATTCAGTGAACTGGCTGTTTGGGGAAGTGGTCATTTTGGCCGACTAATCGGCAACTGTTTTTGGTGGCTGAGCACCACCAGGGACCTCTGTGGTGGTTTGTCCACCCGGCCCTTCAGCCCCAGCCAGCGCCCTCTGGAGCGCAGCACCACAGCACACTCACCTCTCCAGTCTGGCCTTGGGCCTCCTGCCTGCAGAGATGCCTCCAGGGTCCTCAGCACTGCTACCCAGTTCTGTTTCTGCAAAGTCATGGGGGTCCTGTCACACAATGGGGGCCACATGGCACTGGCTCTGTGGCCTTAACCTTCTCTCTGAGCACACATTTCCCCTAATCCAGCTCCTGTCACCTTCATAGCAACCTCACTCAACCCTTCCTGGGTTCTTCAGGGAACATTATTCATTTATCTACTCATTCATTCATTTATTCAGTTAGCAAATAAATATAATGGTACACTGGCTATGAACTTGAGCTGGACAGAGTGATGAACACCATCCAAAGTCAAATTGCCTCCATTTCCCCCGCCCGCCTTGCTCATGCTGTTCTTTGTGCCTGAGCTCTCTATTCTGGTTAACTATCTTCAGGTCCCATCTCCTCTAGGAAGTATCCCTTAGCCCTGCCCCGGCTTCTCCCTGTGGGCAGCAGCAGCAGGAGCCGGTCAGAGAGCCAGCAAAGCCCAGGCAGTACCTCCTTTTTCTCTATCTCCTGGCTGTCTAGCTTGATCCAGAAGGCGCACCAGGGCCCCCTTCCTGTGCAGAAGCTCCTGGTAGGAACCCATCTCTGCAATTGCCCCACCTTCCAGAACCACGATCCAATCAGCCTGGGGCAGGATGTGGAGCGTGTGGGTCACGAGAATCCGTGTCTGGGCAGGAAGGGGTGGAAGCCACACTCACATTCTTGGCAAATCTCCTTTGCTGGGATTGGGGGCAGTGTCCCTGGGCTCAGAGTGGGGACAGCTCCCTTCTTGTGCTCCTGCCCTCTTCCTTGAAAATAGCACATCCAAATAGAGAAACAGAGGGGACTGGCTCAAAACAAGGAGACAAGGAGTTTGCGTGAACCTGGCCAATAATCTGAGGCAGACCTGTAGTAGTTTAACCAGAGACACACGTAAGGCACTGAGATTTGAGGGCTGCTTATTATGAAGCATCATCAGAGCAAACGCTGACCAATGCAAATGGAAGAACTGGACTCAAGGGGGGTGAGATAAGCTAACTTGGATTAGGATGAGACTCACAGGGCTTCCTCTGCCTTTGCCCTGTGCCCTCTGACACATGTTCCCAAACTTACTGTTCCTTGGAGCAGCCCGCTGGGCCCAATGACACGGTTGAAGACACACTGGCCAATGTGGGCATCCAGGGATGCCAGGGGGTCATCTAGCAGGTACACAGTAGCCTTTCTGTACACAGCCCGGGCCAGGCTCAGCCGCTGCTTCTGGCCCCCCGAGAGAGCCATGCCCTGTAGCCATAGAGAGACCTGAGTCTTCATCTGGTGGGTGAGGCTGCAGCACCCAGGGCAGGTCAGGACACGCCTGCCCATCAGGGTGAAGCACAGCTCACCGCACCTGTCATCTGAGCCACCCACAGCCTCAAACACCCACCCTCAAGACAACACCCCTGCCAGTCGGAACCTGCCTCACTTTCCCCCTTCCCAGCCCAGCTTCCTGATGGAATCATTTGCTCTCCCCAACCCACTCTCTCCCATCCCGCTCACTCCTCCCTCCATTGAAGTCTGGTTTCTATTTCCACCTCTCCACGGAGACCACAGTCACCAAGCCTACTAGTCATTCTCCTGTTGCTTTTTAGTCCTTTTACAAATTTTTATTTTTAATTAATATGTAACAGGTGTACATATTGGGAAGTAATGTGATATTTGATACCTATATGTAGTATAATAACGTGTAATGATCAAATCACAGTAACTGGGATATCCATCACCTCAAATGTTTACCTTTTCTTTATCTTAAGGACCTCACAATTCTTCTTTTCTAACTTCAAAAACAAAAAACAGACTCGGTGCCTGTCACTTAGTGGTTAGGGTGCCAGCCACATCCACCAGGGCTGGTGGGTTTGAACCCGGCCCTGGTCTGCTAAACAACAACGATAATAATAGAGAAAACCAGCTGGGCATTATGGCAGGCACCTACAGTCCCAGCTACTGGGAGGCTAAGGCAAGAGAATCGCTTAAGCTCAAGTGTTTGAGGTTGCTGTGAGCTGTGACGCTCCAGCACTCTACTGAGGGTGACATAGACTCTGTCTCAAAACAAAATAAAACTGGGTGCTAGCATAGGGTGACCAGACGTCCCGCTTTTGGCGGGACAGTCCTGCTTTCTAACAATTTGTCCCGTGTCCCGCAGCGTTTTAAAAAAGTCCCAATTTTTGGAAAGAATGCACGAACAGGCAGGAGAACAGGGAATATACGGTTTTCAATTGCCATGTGGCTATTTCACCAGGATATGAGTTTTATATTATTTTTGTTAATTTTATAATGTAAAACTGTAATAATAACAAATAATTGTTGAGAAATGATTATCAATAACTGCTTATCAAAGTTTGCATTGTTGTCAGGCCCTGCCCTGCCCCGCCCCCTGCCCCCCCCCCTGCCTCGCCCCCGCCCCACCCCCCAGCCATGTGGTCTCGCTTTACCAGTGTTAAAATCTGGTCACCCTATGCTAGCAGAGGTTGGTTCATGAGGTTTACGGAAAGAAGCCTTCGGTATAACACACAAGTACAAGGTACAGCGGGCAGTGCTGATGGAGAAGCTGTGGCATTAAGGTAACTGATGAAGGTGGCTACACTAAAGAACTGATTTTCAACGTAGATGCAACAGCCTTCTACTGAAAGAAGACATCATCTGGGACTTTTTTTTTTTTTTTAACAATCATAGCTCACTGCAGTCCTGAACTCCTGTACTTAAAAGTGAAGCCCCCACCTCAGCCTCCTGAGTAGCTGGGATTACAGGCTCCAGACAGGTGCCAGCTCCATCTACATCTTTTCTAGCTACTTTAAAAACTACAATAAATTATCATTAACTACCATTTCCCTACCATAGTATTGAGTACTAGAATGTATTCCTTCTGTTATTTTCATTCATCCTTGTTTTCATTCATCTTAAGTCTGTTCATTCATCCCATCAGTAACTGCTGTGGCTACTACATATCCCACAGTGTCCTGGGCCCTGGGGACTCAGCAAGGAACAAAGAGTGGCTGCCGTCCTGATGGGATCTTTCCTTCTAAGGAGGGTGGGGCTGGAGACAATCAGTAAATAAAAGAGTGAAATGCAGAGCACGTTCTGGGGTGTTAAGTGCTGGGAAGAAGTGTGAGGCATGAGCAGGGTTGCTGTGTTGGGTGAGGCCAGGGAAGGTGACAAAGTCAGGGATGAGCCGGGTGGGGGGGGGACTCTGGGTGGTGGGGGGAGAGAAGGGACAGCAGGTGCAGAGGCCCCGAGGTGGGAGTGTGCCCTGAGGGTCCAGGGAACATCATCACAGAGACTCATGAGGCTGGAGGGAAGCAGGAAAGGGAAGCATGATGTGAGATGCGGCAGAGAGATAACAGGGCCCCAGTGTGGGGGACCTTGCCAGGGACTGTCAGGACTGGGCTTTGATGCTGAGGGGAGTGGGAGACCCTGGAGCATCTGAGCAGAGGAAGGATGTGATCTGACCTGCTGCGTCTGAACAGAGCCCCTGTGGCTGCCGCACTGAGGTTAGACTATAGGGGTGAGGACAGAGACCAGGTGCCATCCAGAAGGCCACTGCAGTGGTGTGGGCAGAGCTGACGGTAGACAGGACCAGAAGATTCCAGCTCTGCTCCAAAGGTGGACCCAAGAGGATTTGCCAATAGATTAGAAGTGGATATAAGTGAAGGAAAGGGAAAAGGACCTCACCGAGGAAGCATGGCTCTTCGGTCACCTGGGAGGGGCGGGTTGTGGGAAGACATGGTGCTGGGACATCAGAGGCCAGTCTAGGGTGTGACACAGCTGGGCAGATGTAGAGGGCGGCAGGCACTCCCACCCTCTCAAAGCATTCCCCGGGCCTCCACAACACGCTGTCATCTCTCCTGTATGTCCCTTCTTAGCTACCCCTTCCTGGCTCACTCTGCTGACAGCCCATCCAAGGGGCACCAGGGACCCTCTCCTAGGCACTCACCCCAGGAAACCTCACTCATCTCCTGACTTTTCTGTTGATAATTCTCTAATCCAAAGGTCTGCAAACTCTTTCTGTGAAAGGCCAGATAGTGACTATTTTCAGCTTTGCAGGCCACATGGTCTCTGTCACCACAGCTCGGCTCCGACTTTTGAGTGAGCAGCCAGACATGAGGTGAATAAATGTGCGTGGCCGTTTCCCAGCACTGCTTTGCTTATAAATACAAGCAGTGGGCTGGATATGGCCTGTGGGTCATAGTTGGCCAACCCCTACCCAATCCATAACTCCATATATCCTGCTTGTTGGACATCTTTGTCCAGACCCTTTGGGGAGGCTCAGAGAGGGAAGGCAATTTGACCAACGTCACCCAGCCAGGTGAGGAAGAGAGGGACAGAAGTCCAGGTCTTCTCACTCTCCATGGTCAGAGAGCCCCTCACCGCCAATCCCTGCCACAATGTTCTATCTACTCTTTCGTCTGTACTTGCAATCACTTATTAATAATTATTTATTGATCACCTACTATGCAATTGACTGAAGCAAACGGTCCCACCTATAATTCCTCCCTGTCCCAAAAAAGCCTTGAGCCTCTCACCTGCTCCCCAATCGAGGTGTGGACTCCTGCATGGAAACTGCCCACGTCTGGCCACAGGGCACAGGCCTCCAGCACTCTCTCCAGCCACGGTGGGTCCAGCTCCTGCCCAAAGCACACATTCTCCACCACAGAGGTATTCTGGACCCAGGCTTCCTGGGGCACATAAGCCACGGGACCCTAAAACAAAATGACCTTGGCCATAGGAGGACAATGGGGACACAGAGGGAGCAGTGGAGCTGGGCTCTTGGTGGTGGGCGGGAGGGGTAGAGTGTGTTGGGTGTGCGCTGGGCTGGGAGGAGCAGGGAGGCACCAGGGCAAGGGGACATTCAGAATGGTGGACTTTCATGGTGAGGGATGTCCTAGTAGGCAGGTGGCCTCACCTTGATGCTCACGGACCCCTCCACCTTTGACAGCTCCCCCAGGAGGGCGGAGAGCAGGGAGGACTTCCCTGCCCCCACAGGACCAACGACAGCCAGCAGACAGCCCTGGGGCACGCTGAGGTTTATCCTGCCAACCCAGGAGGAGGGAGATGTGTCTCTCATTAGGGCCCAGTCTGCATCTGTGGTGAGCCCAGACGGAGCCAGGTCTTCCTGGTGGCCTCTCCCCTGCGAGGTCTCTAAAAGGACTCGCAGGGGTCTTTCTTCCCTTTCTCAGTCCTCGTGTGGCTATTTGAGCAGTCATCCCACCCATGTCTCTGTACACACACACAAAGTACACACACATTTGTACACACACGCAAAGAACATAGACATGAGCACACATGCTCCCATGCATACATGGTTGCACAAGTACACACACAAGCACAGCGTACGTGGCTGCACACACATGCTGACACACGCATGCCTGCCCACTCCCATGCACACACACTGTCCATAGTGGCCTGAGGTGTCAACCTGGATGGCCTCCTGCCTCAGCACTTGAAATAGGCTCTTCCCTGCCCTCCTGGCTTCTGTGTTCGCCCCCTCCCCATGTCCTCCAGCCCCTCCTGTACCCCCTGACCATGGGGATCTGTTAAAACCCAAGTCAGATCAGGAACCTCCCGGCTGCAACCCTCCTGCCTCCTGCTCGGTGCCCCGGCTCTGCCTCACACCTCCTTAAGTGTTTCTTGAATACAACAGACCAGTGGTTCTCAAATGGGGGTGAGTTTGTCCTCCAGGGGTCATTTGGCCAGGTCTAGAGCTATGTGGGGTTGTCACAAATGGTAAGGGTGCTCTTGGCATCTGGTGAGTGGAGTCCAGGGGTCCCGTTAATGTCCTGTACTGCATAGGATGACCTCACAGCAAAGAGTTTCAGCCCAAAATAAGAACAGTGCTGAGGTGAAGTGGGAAACCTGAGTCCAGGCACGCTCCTGCCTCAGGACCTTCACACTTGCTGTGCCCACTACCTAGAATGCTCTTCTCCCAGACACCTGAGAGGCTCACACCTGCATCACCATCTCAGCTAGCACACCCAGCCTTCCCTCACTATACAAACCATTGTGCTCTGTCCCCTTGCCCTGGTTTCCCATTTGCAACCCGACTCCTATCAGAATATCACCCGAGAGAGAGATTCTCTCTTGTTTGTTTTCTTTACTTTAACCCAGTGCCGAGAACAGGGCCTGGTATACAGGAAGTGCTCAATAAATACTATCAAGCAAATGAATGACATTTGATACAAATCCTGCCTACGTGTTTTCTTTCACTTCTTGGGGAGTTTGGGGGCTGGCTGAGGCTTTTGGTTAAGGTGACCAGACGTCCTGCTTTTGGCAGGACAGTCCTGATTTTTAACAATTTGTCATGCATCCCGTGGCATTTTTAAAAAGTCCCGATTTTAAAGAAGGAAAGAATGCAGGACAAGTTAGGGAACAGCCAGAGAATGGGAAGGGGATATACGTTTCCTTTTTCGGCTGCTGAAAGGTTAATGTAACTCCATTTGGGAATGAAGAGGTTAATGTAACTCTATTTGGAAGTGAAAAGGCTAATGTAAACTCCCTACTCCCCTCCTGGGCAAGGCATCAGAAGGAGACTGGCTCCCTCCCTTGCTTCTAGGCAAGGACAATTAGCTCAGAAGGAGCCAAACTGTCTGGAACAAACAAGTGGCCCCCCCCCCCCCAGTAAGGTGACTGGATGTCCTGCTTTTGGTAGGACAGTCCCGATTTTTAACAGTTTGTCCTGCGTCCTGCAGCATTTTAAAAAAGCCCTGATTTTTGGAAAGAATGCATGACAAGCTAAGGAACATGGGAGAACAGGAAGGAAATATACGGTTTTTGGCTGCCATGTGGCTATTTCTCTAGGATATGCATTTTATATTATTTTTGTTAATTTTATAATGCTAAACTTTGATAATAACAAATAATTGTTAAGAACTGACTATTGCAAACTGCTTATCAAAGTTTGCATTGTTGTCAGGCCCTGGCCCCCCAGGCCCTGCGCCACCCCCCCAATGGTGTCCTGCTTTACCAATGTTAAAATCTGGTCACCTTACTTTTGGTCACAAATCCCCAGCTATAAAATTGGAGGCTAAAGGTGACAGTGAGCTTGGGACTGACACAGCTGATGAGGCTGGGCCCTGAGGCTCTTCTTGGCCACCCTAAGAGCAGAGGAGTGCCCTGCTCCTCTCCTCCCAGTGGGGTAGAGGCTCAAATTCCTGGTTCCCCAAGACACAGGAGCTCCTGCTTTTCTAAGACCCTCTCCTCCAGGGCCAGTCCTGGGAACCTTCCTGGAAGGTGTCAGCCTGGCACACCCTCCAGCCTCAGGCTGGAACCTGTATGGACTCTCAGGCAGGAAGCCCCAGGCACCTTCTCCCTGTAGATGGGAAAGTAGTTACCAGCGGAGTCCTGTACCTGTGAAGGCAGGGAGGGCTTTCCTGGGACCAGGTGAAGGTGCCATCTTGTACAGTGATGCAATCCTTCCCAGCAGCTGCAGGGCACAGAAATTGGTTACAAGACACCTTCCCGGGAACTGCCCCACCATCCCCGGGGCAACTGGAAATCGCTCCCCCTTGGCAGGCTGCCCTGCGGCTCCTTGGCTGTGTGCCACCCTGCGAGGGTCTCATTCTCTCCCTGTCCCCTGCTGTATAATTCAGGGCGAGGTAAGCCACTCACTCCCAGGGACCAATCCTGCCTGCTACCTATTTTGATAAACAAAGTTTTATTGGAACACAGCCACACCCATGCACTTATTTTAGTTGTGATAGAGGCTGTATGTACAATCTTGACAGAGGCCACAATATATGTACAATCTTGTCCTTTATAGAAAAAGTTAGTAGGCTGTGATATGGCTTAGAATCCAGTCCAGGCCTTCAGAAAGTAAAGGGGATGTTATTAATTTCACTGGGAAAATAGGTCTAATCAGACACATATCTTCTCCTCACAACGCTGGGTCTCAGATTTCATCTGTACAGCAGGGGAAGAATCAGATTATTTGTTCTTGATCTTGAATGTATATTCAAGACTATCTAAAAATCAAAGCTCTCTATGGCTCAGCCCAAATCAATTACATCAGAATGTCGGAGGGACTTGGGGGAGTGTGTGAGCAGCTGGTATGTTTAAACAGCTCCCCAGATGACCCCAGGAAGGAGTTAAACATCCACCAACTCTCTACGGAGGGTCATCAGAAAAAGCAGAATTCCCAGTTAAATCTTAATTTCAGATAAATAAATACTTTTATAGTGTAAGTATGCCCCCAATATTGCATACGATGTATGAAAAAATAAGTTGAAATTCAAACTTACCTGGGCATCCTATATTTTTATTTAAAAATCTGGCTACCTTACTCTGGGGGCTCATCCTTTCTTAATATCCTGAGCTGTGGGAATTTTCCTTCACCCATTTCCCCATCTGTAAAATGGGTGGATTGTAGAAGTGTCCACATCACAGGGTTGTCATGAGGTTGGGCAAGTTCATTACTATCTAGAGCACTCTCCCCCCTAGCTTTATTGAGGTATAATCAACAAATAAAGGTGATAAATATTCAAGGCAAATGACATAGTATCTGACAAACACACTAACTGTGAGACGGCTACCACCATGATCGTCCACACATCCACCACCTCAGCCGGTCACTCCTTTGTGCAGCCATGTGTGGTGAGGGCAACTGAAGCCATTCCATGCAGAGCACTCTGAAGCATGCCAGCACGCGACATGGCGACCACTCACTCCACATTTGCTGTCCTGTCTGTATTCATCTCACCTCGTATGCTTTTGGGGGGATGAACAGGGACCTTAGGACAGTGTGAGTCCCCAGCCCCAGGCAGGTGACCAGGTGTGTCAAAGTTGGACATAAAACAACACCCGGGGTCAACAGCCCTCTAGTAGGATGATGGCTCGGTCATCAGGGACCCTTGATTATTGATTAAGCAGATCCTGAAAAGCCATGAGCTCACTGTCCCTTGTGCAGCCCTCTGGAGGGTCCTCCCAGAGGTAGGCACCAGCCTGGAGGGGAAGAGTTGATTCCCAGGGCCACACAGATGGCAGTGACGGGACTGCAGCCCAGATCCTGGGTCTGAATCCCCAAACCCTATCAGCTCAGCCAAACAAGGCTGTGCACAGCTGACCATTTGTCAGAGCTCTGAGTAGTCTCAGCAATACCAAGTTTTGGTTACTTAAAGGCCTCTTTGTTAACTTCTGGGTTTTTACCTAATAATAATTAAAATAATAACTAAAATGCACTGAAGACCAACCTGGGGGGGTGCATTCTAAGTGCTGCACTTAAACATATCTGACCCCCATGGCAACCCTACACAGTAGGTGCTGTCATGACTGTCATGACCACTTTGCAGATGGGAACCGTGAGGCTCAGAGAGATTAATCACTTGCCAAGGTCAGCCAGCTAGACAGTGCTGGGGCTGTGATTTGGACATGGGCAGTCCAATACCACAGGCTGGGCTTTTAACCACCATGCAGGTGTTTTCCAGGTAAGCAAGTTGACCAGATTCCTCATTAAAACAAAGGAAGGAGGCCTTCACCTGGTCATGGGTCCCCTCTCCCTGCAGCAGCTAACATCACTGAACCCACAGGCATAAGATAAAAAATGCATGGAGCAGAAGGGGAAGCCCAGCTGGCTCAAGCTCCGTGAGTCTCTCTGTGCAGGGAAGCCTGAGTCTCTGATGTTATTTTTTAGCTTGTGAATCACCTCGGACTTTCTGCAGTGGGGCAAAGACCTGGTCCATTAGAGTGTTCACTGCTATACATCCAGAACAGCACACAGTAGGTGCTCAGTGAGCAGTGCCTGAATGATTGGCAGAAAGAACAGCAGCACAGGGTCTCACCCAGATGGCGGGCACTGGGTGTGCCTACCCCACATTCTTGCACACACACCCCCGCCCCCCACCGCTGGAGTCGGCACTCACAGCACTCAGAGGGACTCGAATCCACGGTAGTAGGGTCAACTTCTTCCAGGCAGAGGAAGGCAGCCAGACGGTCAAAGGACACGCGGGCCTGGGGAAACCAAAGCCCCAGGTCACTCAGCCAGAAGAGCAAAGGACTTAGCTTCTGGCATCGGGGGCCTAGAGGTGTGTGGCAACAGCTTCCTGTCTACTAAGATCTATGCATTTGCAAGTGATTAGGACAAATCTCTCTGGGTCATGGCCAACAATGCACCATGAGGTGGTGACACTGGCAGTGGTGGTGATCTTCTACCTCCTCACTCCTGACAGCTAAATTGAAACAAACTGCCATTGTGCAGAGGTAACCTGGGGAGGCGGTGGTGGCTTTTCCAATAGCATCACCAGGTGATTACATGGAACAATTTCAAACTTGTCCACTTGGGGACGCCCTTTCCACTCCCAACTCCAAAATCTTCCTTGGTGAGAGAAAAGGCAGCAGCCCTTACAGGACAGACGGCTCAGTGGCGCGGCCACTGCTCATTTTCATCGTGCCCAAAGACACACATGACAGGACGTGAGAGGGGAAAGGAAGAAAACAAAACTGCTCTGTATGTATAAAAAAAAAACGCAAGTGGAATAGATTTGTGTAGGTGGAATTGCTGGATGGATGGGCCTGCTGTCCTGGAGGTGGTCACAGAGGTCGCCACGCTGCCCACTGGGCTCCCCACCCTCCTTGCGTCTTCCAGCTCTGCAACCTGCCCTCTCCCCCTCCTCCTCCCGGGACAGCCACCACACTCCCCCAGGATGGCTCTGCCCTCCTGCCCCACACCTGGACGACAGAGTGGATGGAGAAAGGCAGGAACGCTTGGGCCTTGTTGAGGATGTTGAGAACGGTGAGGGTCACAAAGGCTTTCTCTGTGTCCATGGCGTTCTCCTCGGCCACCAGAGTGTGCACAGCAAACACAACCAGGGCGACCTGTGGGGGACACATAGGGGGACCATGAGACGGAAGAGTATGGCTACAGAGGCCCAGCAAACCACGGTGCCTCTGTGGCAACATGGCCTGTCCACAGCATCCATACAGGTCTTGTTGGTAATCCCAGCCCGACAAAGCCCTGTCCCCTCCCAGATCATGAGCTATGCAGGCTGGCTCCAAACACGCCAGTGCCTTGATGGAGGGGTAAGCGTGCAGCCCACACCTCTGGGCTTTGCAAACCCTCAGTTCCAGGCATCAGGGGACGGTGCAGTTTTGGATCTCAGTAGCATTTTTTTGTCCTAGACACAGATAGGAATTGTGACCCTAGGATCCCTTGGAAGACGACCCAAAAACTGCCAGTGGCAGCTCCTGAGGGCTCTTGGTGTTACAGGCATGTGTGCTTCTCAGTGTCACTAAGGGATGGCTCAGTTCTCAGTGTTGGTGTTCTGGTTTTAGGTGTGACTCGATGATATAACGGCCACTTGGTATAATGGTCAGTTGGTGTGAAGGTCACCCAGTGTGCCAGACACCAGTATGATGGTGACTCAGAGATCCTATCTGGGGAGCGAAGGAGCTGAGGAAATTTCACCTCAAAATATAATTGCTTGGTATTAGGAATATTTAGAATTAAAAGCCTTTAGAGAGCACCAGGCCTGGGAAGGGATGTTCCCTCCAACTGCATTACCCATCAAAGGAACAAGGGACTTCCCTTCCCCTCCCTGTTATCTCACTGTGCTGTAGGGAAGAAAAATAAAGAGTGCAATTAGAGGTGCAATCAGAAGCTCGGCACCCGGAGCTCAGTGGGTAGGGCACCAGCCCCATACACCGAGGCTGGCGGGTTTGAAACTGACCCAGGCCTGCTAGACAACAATGACAACTGCTACAAAAAACAGCTGGGCATTGTGGCAGGAGCCTATAGTCCCAGCTACTTGGGAGGCTGAGGCAAGAGAATTGCTTAAGCCCAAGAGTTGGAGGTTGCTGTGAGCTGTGACACCATGACACTCTACTGAGGTGACATAGTGAGACTGTCTCAAAAAAAAAAAAAAAATAGAAAAAAGAAAGAATGCAACCAGACCTGGCCCAAAGCATTTTAAACATAGTACCTGTCTCTCAGGTTAATTACAACTCAATCTGTTTCTCCCATCCATTCATCCTTCCCTAGCAACCATTTATTACCCCTGAACAGAATTACCTATACCCCTCATCTTCCCTGCCCCTCTAAAAGGAGGCATAAAAATATCTGGGTCCCCCTGGGATATCGGTAATCACTCTGATTCTTCCTGTGCTCATAATGAACCCTTTCCCCTTATTAATCTGCCTTAATTGTGAGTTGATCTTCCAGGGAACTTTCGGAGGAAAGGGGAAGTTTCCCTGCGGCCCCACAGGAGGGTTTTAAGCTTTGGTTGGTGATGTCCCCTATAGCTCTAGATCCCCTCAGCAGTGGCTGTCCCACATGGCGATGGTGCTTGTCACCTGGAGCCCTCAGTAATGTTGCTACCTGCAACTTCAGACTCCTCTTCCACGGGATTCCAGAATGACAAGTCCCACCCACGTCTACTACGCGTTTACCCTTGGCACTGGCTGGGAATGTCCTGGGAAGAGCTTTTTTAATCTGGAAGCAGTGGGAAGTCACAGTAGGCCCATTCCCAGGGCATGACTGAAGTCAGAGGTGTGCTTTAGGAAGGGGAATCCGGCAGCGATGTTTGGAATCAGAGAGTAAGAGGACGAGCAAGATCCAGAGATAGCGCAGCTGCAGTCACCGATGGCCGGCATCAGGGACCCACTGCAGATATGGGGCTCTACCTCTGAAGCTTCCTGAACCCATAACCACCTCTCCATATCTCCATGTCACTGAATGCCTGAAACTCTCAGAAAGGGAGCGGCAGGCCCTAGCTGTTGGACTCTCCGGGGTGGTTAGCCCACGCAGCAGACAGCAGGGAACCCGAGGACAGGTACATTTTGATGGACAGAAGGATTCGGGGCTCCACCTATTTCACCCCCAGCTCCCTCCCCAGTCGTGCTCTGCACAGAGCCCAGAGTGACATCACCAGAAACGTGGACACTTGGAAGGACACCAGCGACACAGAGAAGAGGAGGCCGGAGGTCTTCAGAGCACTCAGCTCCCTGCCCCGGATGCGCAGGACTCTCTCCAGAAAGGCTTCCTCCCAGCCATGGGCCTTGACGATCCTCATGTTCCTGAGGATGGCGCTGGTGAGCTGGGCCCTCGCGTCCTTCTGCCTCATTTGCTCTTCCTGGGACACAGGAGGGAGGAAAAGGGCCAAAGACGGGTACCAGCTGGACTTCTGACCAGCAACCTGACAACCACCCTTCAGCAAGTTTCTCTCATTAAGCTGTGTCCTCCTGTCTGGCCCCCAGCACCTCAGAACCACAGCCCTGCTCTGGCCACTTCATTGTGCCCCTACCCTGTGGGCTCCCTCCCTTCTTCCTGCCTGGCCTGCCCCTTCTTCCAAAGGTCAAACCTGATGGTGGTTCCTCTTCTTGGTGATGAAGAAGTTCAGAGGGAGGAGGCTCATGAAGACAGCGATGGCAGTGAAGGCGGAGGGGCCTAGGAGCTGGGGACAGAGGGGACAGTGTATCTGAGATCCTGAGGGAGCCCAGGAGCAGACCCTGAGGGATCTGGTCAGACTTGGCTCCTAAGATGGGGGACATCAGGGACTCTGATAAGGGGAGCCACCAGGGCAAAGGGGCCAGAACTCGGTGGGGGGTCTGTAGCTGTTGATACCTGCTGGAGACGGGGTCCTTCTGTGCCAGGGAGGAAAGGATTGCTTCCCATGATAGGCATTATCAAATATAGAGGGCAATATACCCAAGACAGGTCATATATACATACAGCTCTGGGTGGGGGAGTTATGCCATGATGGCCTGGCCATGATGGTGAAGTTGAGACTTCCAAACCCCGGTTCAAATCCTGACTTTGACACTTGCTAGTGTGGCCTGTGACAAGTCACTCACCCTCCCTAAGCTACAGTTTCTTTGTCTGTGAAATAGGAATAGAGTCATTCCCATCACTTATCACACTTAATTATCATCCTAGTCTTCACTTGACCCTGCAGGAGGGTTGCCAGATTTAGCAAATAATCACATAGGCTACCCAGTGAAATTTTAATTTCAGGATAAGAGGGAACATGTTTTTGGTATAAGTATTGGTCCATGCAAATACTTGGGGCATGCTTAGAAATTATTCTGTTTATCTGAAGTTCACATTTAACTGGAAGCCCTGTGTTTTGTCTGGCAATCCTATGTGCTCCCCACCCCCCACAGCTTTGTGACTTTGTGACGCTAAGTTCCTCATCGCCTTGGTTTCTGTGTTTGGAAAGAGGTAGGGAGGGGCAGAAGGAATGATCTTTAAGTTGTTATTTTCTGAGATTCCTTCAGAGGTCATGTGGACCTGCTCTCTAGATAAGTCCCACCACATCTCCAATCTATGAGCCTCAGTTTTCCCTTTCAGCCCTTATGGAACCCTATTTTCTATTCCTAGGCACCCATCATGCCAGTTTGTTTCATTTATGTGGCAATGGCGCCATCCAGTGGCCGAGTGGAGAATTGCCCAAAAGGCAAACACCAGCCCACACTGCAAGTATTCAAAGAGATATGAACAGGTTAAACTCCTCCTGCAAAAATGGTTATCATCGACTGTGCCAACTGCAGTGCCCACCCTTCCTTAACTAGGATTTCATGACGATGTCAAGGACTATCTGCCAAGAGGCAGGAAAAGTACACTGGGAAAGCGATGGGGTGTAACATCTGCAGATATCTTATTGGTCTTGTCCAATTCTCATCGACACAGGGCATGAATCTGCTTGCTCAATTGCTCCACATTTTCCCAAGTGTCTTTCCTCTCTTCCTTTCTTTATTCCTAATAATTATAGCTAACATTTATGTACTGCACACTGTTTGAAGGTCTTACCTGTACTTACTGTATGTATGGCAGGGCCCTGGAATGCTAGGTAAATGCCAGAAAAGGTCCAGAAAAGGTCCTGGCCCCATGTTATAGCAAAAATAATGTTATGCACATGCATTAGATGGTATTTGGGAATAGTCAGCCCTTAAAATGCTGTGAACTGTGGCATACGAATCCCTCTACCTGCTTTAATGATTTTTACATAGTTGATGAAAATTGAAAGAAGGATGCTATTCCATGACAGGTGAAAATGATTTGAAGTTCAAATTTCAGGGTCTATAAAAAATGTTTTATCAGAGGACCATTATGCCTGATTACTATTGTCTGTGGCCACTTGTGCAGTTCAAGCACAGAGGTGCGTGGTTGTGAGAGAGACTATACGGTCCCCAGCAGTTAAAATATATGCTTTCTGGCTCGGCGCCTGTGGCTGAAGCGGCTAAGGCGCCAGCCACATACACCTAAGGTGGCGGGTTCGAATCCAGCCCGGGCCCGCCAAACAACGATGATGGCTGCAACCAAAAAAAATAGCCAGGCGTTGTGGCGGGCGCCTGTGGTCCCAGCTACTTGGGGGGCGGAGGCAAAAGACTCGCTTGAGCCCAGGAGTTGGAGGTTGCTATGAGCTGTGATGCCATGGCACTCTACCTAGGGGGACAGCTTGAGACTCCGTCTCAAAAAAAAAAAAAAAAAAATATATATATATATATATGTATGCTTTCTGTTCATTTACAGAAAAGGAATAGCAGTACAAACACATATTATCTACAGAGTACACCTGTGTGCCAGACACCGTTCTAAATGTTTCACATGGATTAGCTCATTGAAGACCTCAGCAACTCTAACGCAAGGTCTATGGCCCCTGGGGTCCTCATTTAGGAGAGGAGGAAGTAATGCACAGAGAGGGCGAGTTCCTTGTGCAAGACTTTACAACTAGTCAGTGGTAAAGAGCGTGATTTGAATCTGGGCAGTTCTGACAGAGTCTGATTTTACTACTACTAATAAAAAAAATCCTATACCACAAAGTTAAACAAAGGAAGTCAGAAAAAAGTCCTGTTTTTGCAAGTTTTTGTTTATGTCTAATGGTTACTTTATGGGTTTTTTTTTTTTTTTTTGTGGCAGAATCTCCCTCTGTCACCCTGGGTATAGTGCCCTGGCATCATCATAGCTCACAGCAACCTTAAACTCCTGGGCTCAAGTGAGTCTCCTGCCTCAGCTCCCAGGTCGCTGGGACTATAGGCATCCACTACAATGCCCAACTAATTTTTCTATTTTCAGTAATGATGGGTGTCTCACTCTTGTTCAGGCTGGTCTCGAATTCCTGAGCTCAAGCAATCCACCTGCCTCAGGCTCCCAGAGCACTAGGATTACAGGTTTGAGCCACCATGCCCAGGCTTCTTCATACTTTTTGAAGCCTCAGTGGTGATTATTTCCCCTGAAAATTTCCCCCTCTTTTGTTGTTGTTGACGATGGTGGTGCCCCAGTGTCACTGGTAACTTCAAAACAAGATTAATCTACCTATTGGGGACCCTGATAATACACTAGGGAAATGCCTATGTCATCATCATTTAACTGAGGCCCAGAGGGGATGAGCTGATGGTAAAGTGAAGACCATCGCCATCTAAGACAATTCCTGTCCCTTCAGCCCACAGTGTGCAGATGGGGACAGGCTTGAAGGAGGGGGTGGGGGAGGAAGACGAGGCAGAACATTCACTTCAAATCCTGTCTTTCGCTGCCCTCCCTGTGCACCTGCCAAAGATAGATGAAGCAGACCACGATCCAGATGACAGGCAGCCACAGCCCATTGAGGTAGATGACGCTCTCTGTCACCCTCTGCACATCCACTGACACGAGGTTGACCACATTGCCTACTGTGCTGGCCTTTCTGGAACCGCTAGACAGAGCCAGGACCTAGGCAGGGTAGGAAGAAAAAGTAGAGGGATGGAAGGTTGGAGGTGGGGTCCCTGAGGCAGGCCTCTTTGCCCTCAGAGCCTCAGTTTACTCATCTGTGCAGTGGGTGAGTATAACCTCCTGAGCTAACCTCTCAGGCTGTTGTGAGAAACCAGAGAGGTGACAAAAGTGAAAATACACTGAAATTCCTGAAGCACTGGAATGGTTATAATCAATGAAAATGCCTGGTTAAGGATGACAGTGGTCATTTGCTAAATGCTAACTATGTCCTGAGCTAAACGAACAGCTTCCTCGTGTCCTGTGATGCTCACCACTACCTTACCAATCAGGGGCTACCATACTTCATTCAATCTAAAATGCCATGGAGAAATACTGTTTTTGTACACTAAAGAAAATATTCCCAATTAAGACATGGAAGGCACAGATAAGTTAAAGTACTGCCCAACGTCAGAGGGCTTGTAAACGCCTATAGCAGGAATGAACTCGGGATGACTAAGGAATGACAAGGACATTTCATGTGCTTCTCTGACACCAACCTGGTTCTCCAGGGGCCTCAAATCTGCCCTGACCCTGGGGTCACAGTGGATCCCTGCCAGCCCGTTGAAGGCTAAGTTCTACACATGATCCTCTCTTTCTCTCTGCTGAGTGTGTGAGGGAGTGAGCCAGGAATGTTGAGTGTAGAAATTCTCTACCTAGCAGATATTTACTTATTTGTTTATTTTTTGAGACAGTCTCCAGCTGTCGTCCTGGGTAGAATGATGTGGCGTCCTAGTACAGCAACCTCCAACTCTTGGGCTCAAGTGATCCTCTTGCCCTAGTTTCTCTATTTTTAGTAGAGATGGGTCTTGCTTTTTCAAGGCTGGTCAGGTTTGTCTTGAACCTGTGATCTGAAGCTATCCACCTGTCTCAGCCTCCCGGAGTGCTAGGATTACAGGTGCGAGCCACTGCGCCGGCCTACTTAGCAAATCTTTAAAGAGCACTCACTGAGCGCCTCACACTGAGAGCCCAGCTGTGAACCATGGAGATAGTGGGCTTGCTGGGGTGGGGGAAGACTGGAGTTTGCAGTGGGGACCATGACTCAGTAAAGATCTGCAAAATTCATTCTTTAATGGCAACGATAAGGGCCATGAAGGAGCAGCCCAGATGGTCGAGAGGAGGGCTCTGACCTCAACAGGGGATCAAAGGGGGCCTCCCTCTGAGAGGGCAGTGGGCAGAGCAATGCCAGTGGGCTCAAGGAAACATGTGGACTTACCAGAATGGATAGGTCACAGCCAGCTTGGCACGCTTGAGGGACATGAGCCTGAAACAGTACTCTGGCATCATAACACTGGGAGCCACACTGAGGCCATCCAGGAGCTGTTCCCTTTTTCCCCTCCTCCCTGAGGTCACTGCTCAGGTGTGAGAAAATGATGAGACCTACAGGGGACTCTGAGGTTCTGAGCCTCACAGGGGCCAATATCCCTCACAGCAGCAGCCCATGGGTTTAGTGTCCATGGTCCCTGAAAGTCACCGTGCTGGGGACTAGGGGGGTCATTTTTACCACAGGTAGTGTTGCCTGGCAACATACCTTTATCCAGTCCACACACAGTGGAAGTTAACCCTTTAGCCTCGAGGGTGGAGTGGGAGCTAATTTGAGGAGGAGGAGGAGTGGGAAGGGTGTCCAGTTAGTGGGAACAAGGGCAGAAAGCTCTGAATTGGGAGGGGGCCTGACATGTTTAAAGAACTGAAAGGAGACCTGTGTGGCCTCAGGAGGGTGAGCACTGGAGGAGGAGGGGGTGTGTGTGTATGATGTGATCAGGCTGGAGAGGCGCCAGGGTCATATCATCCAAGGCCTCAGAGAAATAACAAAGAAGGTAAGAACGCAGGTGCAAGTGATTCTGGGTAAGTGAGAGCCAGGTGCACGCTCGCTCGGCCCCAGGTGAGTGACACTGCCCCTCCCAGGGCTCACCTTTCGGTATACCAGGCCCGTGAGGGCCGTCCGCAGCCGCATCTGCAGCACCCGGAGCCTGTACATGTGCTGCTGCTCAAACAGCGTCTGCAGGCAGGCGGAGAGGAGCATCAGCACCGCGAGGAGGCAGCCCTTCCAGGCAGGGGGCTCGGGGTCACCAATGAACTCCAGGAAAAGGCTGGTGGGAGAGAGCGAAAGGGACAGCCTCTGAGAGGAGGGGCCCTGGGGGCTGCCTTTGCCCAGACCAGGTCAGGTGCAGAGGATTGGTCAGTGTGGTTGTTGTCCACGGTCATTTCCCCTACTGTCCACATTCCCTTGTATTCTCTGATCAAGAGAGTTTTAAGCCCAGTGTGGGATGGTGGCTCATGCCCACAATCCTAGCACTCTGGGAGGCCAAGACGAGTGGATCACTTGAGCTTAGGAATTCAAGACCAGCCTGAGCCAGAGCAAGACCCCATCTCAACCAAAAACAGAAAAAATAGCTGGGCGTTGTAGCAGGTGCCTGTAGTCCCAGCTACTTGAGAGGCTGAGGCAAGAGCAGGGGTCCTCAAACTTTTTAAACAGGGGGCCAGTTCACTGTCCCTCAGACCATTGGAGGGCTGGACTGCGGACCCTGGGACAAGTTGGCTGCTAAGCAGGACAGTCAGCAGTGGCAAAAACACCTGGCAGGCTGGATAAATGTCCTAGGCGGGCTGCATGTGGCCCCTGGGCCGTAGTTTGAGGACGTCTGGGCAAGAGGATTGCTTGAGTCCAGGAGTTTGAGGTTGCTGTGAGCTGTGATGCCATGTGGTACTCTACCGAGGGTGACAAAGTGAGACTCTGTCTCAAAAACAAACAAACAAAAAACGTAACCCTCCATACCGAGGAACGTGACTGTATTTAAACAGGTGATTAAGTATGAAGGAGGCTGTTAGAGTGGGCCCTACTCTAGTCTGACCGGTGTCTTTATAAGAGGATGGGAGATTTGCACACATCCAGAGACACCTGGGGCACACACAGGGAACACAGAGAGGAGGAGGACATTTGCAAGCCAAGGAGAGAGATTTCAGAAGAAACCACCTTGAAGGCACCTGATCGTAAACTTCCCACCTTTGAGACAACACATTTCTGTTGTTTAGTCACACCAGTCTGTGGTGCTTTGTTCTGGCACCCAGCAGACTCTAAATATACCGTGCCTGAAATGTGGACTAGACACACAACTGGCTTTGGCCAACAGCACACAGCAGAGGCAAAAGTGTGCCGGCTCCGAGCCCAGGCCTCCAGAGAAAATGCTCTATTTCTTGGAACCTGCCCAAGTGGCCATAGGAACAAGCCTGAGTTAGGCTTTGGGAGGATGGGAAATGGCATGGAGCAGAGATGAGCTGCCCCCCAACCCAGCTGCAGACACGTCAGTGAACTCAGCCAAGGAAAGAAGTGCCCGGCTGAGCTCAGCCCAGCTGCTACCCCACGTTACCATGAGTTACACAAATAAATGCCGGTGGTTTTTTTTTTTTCTTTTTGAGACAGAATCCCATTATGTTACCCTTGGTAGAGTGCTATAGCATCACAGCTCACAGCAACCTCAACTCCTGGGCTTAAGCGATTCTCTTGCCTCAGCCTCCCAAATAGCTGGGACTACAGGCGCCCGCCACAATGCGCAGCTATTTTTCTGTTGCTGTTGTCATTGTTGCTTAGCTGGCCCGGGCTGGCTTCGAACCCGCCAGCGCCGTAACCACTGTGCTACGAGCGCCCAGCCAATGCCTATGGTTTTAAACCACTTGCTTTTGGGTTTAACTGCAAAAGCTAAAACTGATACAGTCAGATGAGGGCTCACTCATTTGTCCTCCCAGGGGTCGGTAACTTTCTCTTTAATCTTTTCCCTTCCTCAGTACCCTTCTCATCCACCCTCTGGTGTCCTGAGCACCAGCTGTATAGGCAGAGGCAGGAGCTGAAGCCCCTGGCCCTGGAGGGATTCTATTAAGAGACCACCTTAACAAATAAACCCAGGGCCCAGACCTACCTGAGCAGCTTGGGGACAGCAAACCTGAAGACATCCCCGATGACAAGGCTGAGCGTTGCCAGGAGGAAGGTGGAACGGAACACCCGCCAGGTGGCCCTCAGCAGCGGCCCCCGCCGGCTCTTTCCCTGCGGTAGGAAGGCCTCCGTCTCTGGGGCCTCCACACCGCCACCTTCTTTCCTTTTAAATGCCTTGGTGTGCCTTAGGGAGAGGACAGAGTGGCTCTGGGTCCTGTCTTATACTCTCAGCTGCCGGCAGCAGGGCCAAACATTAAAGAGTTATTTTCCCAGCAAGGGCATGGGTGGATGAGGATCCCACCTGGCTTCCTCACCTGTTCCTCCTTTGACACCCAGAGGACCCACTTATGAGACAGCCAGGTGGGGGCAGGGCAGAGGGGCAGCCCCGAGGCCTTATGGGCATGCATGAGCCCAGAGCACCTCCTCTGTGCCAGGCACCCCTCAGCACTTCTAAGAACCCAGCAGACCAGGGGTTGCCCTCATTTCACAGATAAGGAAACTGAGGCTCAGTTGACCTTGTTCAAAGGCACACAGCTGGGAAGAACTGGGATTGGACCCCAGCCTTCTGCTTGCTGAGTCCGTGCAATTCCTTTTTTTTTTTTTTT